CCTAGAATTATTTTTACCACTCTTTCTCTTCCCCTCTCCTTCTCTTTTTCTCGCCATCTCTCTCTCATGTCTCTTGTCACCAATGCAATTAATTGGGTTTAAACTTATTATCTCTTACCTGGAATACTGCAAAAATCACATTAACAACAGTACTGCCTCTACTTCCTGACTCCATACCACCATATATTTTTCTAAAATAAAGAGCCGATCACTTTTTCTCACACTCTAAAGTTTTTCAGACTCTCTACCACTACTTAAAGACTTTATAGTAATAAGCAAAGGCTTGTGAGGTGAACTCTACCAACTTAGTTTCACCTTCCACCATTCCCTAGTCTTTCCATGAACCCTAAACTCCTGGAATATCCACTATTAATGAAATACCATGTCCAGCCCTTCCTTCCTTCCTAACCCTCCTATCTAGTATAATTAACAAACTACTACTCATGTATTTTTAAAAATCTGGCTCTAATATTGTCCTCTGCTAAATATTCCTAGATATAATCAGGTAGAATTCATTATCCCTTTTTCTAAACTACCACTACATTTTTTATGATTATTTATTTATATTACTGAATAATCCTTTAGACAGTGACTTCCCTGAGAGCAAAGAAGGGATGCCAGTGCATCCTTGATTCCCTATTGTCTAACAAAGTGCTGAGACCAGAGACAGAAATAAATCTTTTTTGTGGAATAGTGAGCATAAATGAAAATGCTGAAGAGTTAACACTTTTTCTTATAATCAAGGGTAAGTTACTGAACATTTTGGAATAAGGGAACAGATAATGATAGAAGTGTTGTTAAAAAAATTATTTTGGGGGGACCAGCAGTTGGTGTAATGGCTATGTCACTGGACTCCCATGAAGTTGACAGTGGTTGGAGTCCCGTATGTGATGGCTTAAACTCATGCCAGGTGCATGTGCATGTGTGCCCAAGATCCCAAGAGGAGAATGGAGGAGAAGGGATTGTGGTGTGGCCATCCCCCCAGGGGGATGATTTCTCACTTTCTGTCTCTCTGCCTCTCTCTGTCTGTCTGGTGAGCGCACGTGCCCTATAGCAAAAATCTCTCAAAAAAATTATTTTGGCGACCAGCAGGTGGCATAGCGGTTATGTCACTAGACCTATCGACTGCAGTTAGAATCCCAGACCTGGTGGCTTGAAAATCACACCAGGCAAGAATGCATGTATGTCCAAGATCCTGGGAGGAGAATGGAGGAGAAGGGACTGCGGTATGGCCAT